TTCTCCTAGAATTAAAATTTTCGCAAGATGATTGAATCAGCCATAGCAGCATTTTTTTTAACCCTACTGCGTGTGTGCCTATTCAAATTTGAGAACACTGTCCAACTAGGTAGACAACAGTTGCGTATCCACTATCAAATGGGTCGCATACGACATGCTTCTCTGCGGTCGGACAATGACCCACAACAGCCTCAAGTGAATGCAACTGTAAAGCATTATAATCCTGCACTCAGTGTACAAAGTTGCACGATTAAACATTTGATCATACCTTCCAAGCACCGTGCTGGCACATCTGCCAAAAGCAAAGGCTGGCTAAGCAATTTGCAGTCATGGTTACATCAGTCATCCTGACTCGAGCCTTATGTCAGTGTTCAGTGCCACAGCTCAGATTTTGAGTATTGAACAAAAAAAGAAAAATATGCTTTTGGCTCAGTTCCTTCTGCGTTGGATTATTAGTATTGTCGGTAGTTCGTGTGAAATTCTTATCACATACATGTAGGTGCAGAGCGACTGATAAAAAGGTATGCTGAAGTCAGTGCGTTCATACGCTTCCTACTTTTCACAGCATCACAGCTGTGGATAAATAGCAGTGTGCTTTTCACTGATTGCAACAGAAACAACCTGGAGACATTTTCCCTCTAACGTTCTGTTTCTTTAATCAGTTCAGCAAGAAACTTTGCTCTAGCTGCTGTTGTCGTTGATCCAGTATGCCTTGTAAAGTTGTGTGACAAATAATGATAAAAAGGTGAGCTGCAGAATAAAGGTTTTGTGTAAATAGAGCTTTGAATAGAAAGATCGATAGGGAGAAGTGCCTTCACCGGAGAGATATAGTATCGCAGTACTACAAATGATGGATTTAAGAGAATGGTCTGTGCATGTTTTCCTCACAATTCCTTGTTGTAAGGGTTGTGTTGAGAGAAAAAGGGGGAACGGAGGGGGGGGGGGGGGGGGCAAGCTTGAAGGACGCAGAGGACTTTTTACCCTTGAAAGTTCCACACACATTCTCACAGTCCATGCACTAGTCACTTTTTCTTGGGATATAAACACGATCATTGCAAATTCAAATAAATCCTTTCATGCAACAATGCCTGCATGCCTGGTTTTCTCTCTTTAGACAAGGACACACTTTGTCTCTGCTGCACAAACACTGACACTGATGAGTGTTTCAATGGCACAAATTAAAGGCATTCTCCTTTTTGGATGGAGGAAACAAACAGTAAGCTAATTCTATCCATGAAAGGAAATAGAGTTTGTATTTGAGGAAGCGATTTGCTGGAAAGAAATGCTGCATTTCAACAAATACACGCTAAAAAAACACAAAGCGGGAATCAATCTTACATTATGTCAACTTATTGTTCCATGATTGATCATCTAAAATATGAAAAAGAGAAGCTTATAAGCTTTACAAATTTAAGCTTGCACTGATTTAATGTTTAAAATACTTTTGACAACAAACCTCACAATATGGTGTTTGGACCTTTATGATAAAATGTGAAAAGTTTTAGGTAAGATAGAGTGAAAATACAACATTCATTTGATATAACTTTTAAGAGCTGTGAGAACAGTAAAAGCTACACTTAAATGGGAATACATTAACATTGCAACATGTATTCCATTTAATATTTGTTTTATGTAAAAACATATTTAATTGGCTTCAACTGTTGTGAATGAGTATTTCGTGGTCAGCTTCTGCCCCTCTACATGTTCTCTTCGCTGCTACACTTAATTTGCATAAGTCTATTTACTGTATGTGCTTTACTGTTTTTCTGGAGTATGCAAACCATTTAAGAGACCACACAGGTCACACTATTCTGCCAGGCATTAATCCTGCCAAAAAAGTGGAGGAAAACATCTGATAGAGCTGATAGAAGTTCATCCTTTGCCTACTAGCATTCTTCTTCATGGGAAGGAATCTGTACTGCATATGTCATACTATAACCATCAAGAACCTAATTGTTCCTTTTATCAAAATATACAGCATGGCTTGTGAAATTCAATCACCTCACTTGACTTTGTCATTAAAATGGCAGCCTGCAAAGCTACATCACATATCACACATGTACCACTTGTATAGCTTTAATCATCTAAAAGTCTCAGCTCATAAGTGGAAAAAGGTGATTATCAGGTTGCCACAGCCACACACCACACATATTTATCACTTTAAAGAGATAATTAGGCGGGAAGCCTGGGAGACAGCAGATGAAATATGAACCAACAGAACGGAATAACTTTCATAGCTTGTTTTGTAACCTTTAGCAGGAAACCAATACTGTAAATTAAACAAGTTGCAAATAAAGTGACACATTTTGCATTATCAATGTCCACACAAGAAACATAAGTAGTCTGATATCTTTACATATCTTTATATGTTTAGAATGAAAAAAAAAAATCTCTATATATATATTTAGTTCTAAACACATATATATATATATATATATGAAAAATAGGGATCTCAATGTTTACATAACCTGTACAGTCATATGCAAAAAAATATATATATATTTAATCTCTGCAGCTAGCTTTCCTTTCCTTCTTGTCAGTTGATATCTCACCTGGATTCCTCATCATTGACACCCAAAACATCAGATATGATCCAGAATCAGAACATCATAATCATCCAGACAGTGAATCTTTGCAAAGTACTTTCTTGACTCTAATGCAGTTACGACATATGAAGTGACGAGACTTAATTACGCCATCCCAACCGTGTTTGTTGTTTTGTCTGAGGAATGTTTACCATAATCCCCCAAAACACTGCACACACACACACAGTCTTGGAACACTACTTAGTTGAGCATTTTCAGCTGCCTGTGTTGCATTAAAAAGGACCCTGTGCAATTGAAAAGCAGCTACTCTCTCTCTGGCATTCTCTGCCACGTGGACATGTTAATGTGCATAATTAACTAATCAGCTTATGCCAGCTTGCAACACTTGCATTTCACTCTGCCAGCTTCAGCTCCTCACTTGAAAACCTCTTGAAAGATTCAGGGTTCAGTCTCCCTCAGTGTAAAAGTGTCCCCCTCCGGGTGATTTTGTTAAGATTTTACAGTTTTAAGTGGCAACTTGAATTCTGCCGGTCCAGAGCTCGGCACCAGAGGTCTGATCATTGACCATCCCGGCTCCCCGCCAGATCATAAGCCTTCGGACCCAGAGGTCTCAAAGCAATGGAGAATCTGGGGAGTAATGCAGGGGTTGCTAGCAAGCTAATTCATGTGCTTTAAATGGAAAATATGAGTTAACCATGCCCCATTCATTTAAATACAACACATGGACACAAAAGTAACTGTGAAATAAATTTGTCATTAAGAAATAAAATAGTTTTCTTTACATACTGTATACTGTTACATATATACATACACATATATGCCTCACAGCAGGGTCCTAGATTCAAACCTGAGTCTCTGGCCCGATGCTCGCTAGGATTGAGCTCAGACCCAACGCGCCCCCACCCGCCCCCCTAAGCGGTATAAAAGATGACTGACTGTCTGATTCCATCTGTCTGCTACTGGGAGGAGAGATTGTCAAATCCTACATCAAATCCATTTGGATATTTTTGTAAGGGGCCCCACTGCACATGAGAGCAGTTGTCTTGATAAATCATAATACTTGTCATAAATATTGATTAGTTCCACTTATTTGTGAGGTTTAAGGCCATTCAGTAATGTCACTGAGAGTCAATTATTTGCCATGGAAACCAAGACAATCATTTGGGGAGTAAAACAAATGCATGTGTAACGATCACCAAAATACAAAAAGAGTGGTCAGTGCAGACAGAATGTAGCTGTATAAATGTGAAATAGCACTTTTACTTGTATGTCTACTCTTTAAAAGCCAGATATTGTATGTGCCTGTGTGTGTAGAAATGGTCCTTGGCAGTGGAAGCCATTGATTTTCTCAATGCAAGTTTATAGCATCTCTCCTTTCCTGCCGGCACAGCATGCAATACGAGACCACAAGTTTTCTTTGACCCACAGCAATCAATTTTGCTTAGCCGAGCTCCCCGGCCTGGATGGGGCCTGACTAAGCACCTGTCTCCTCCGACACACAGTGCAGCATACCCTGGTCCAGGGGCGAAAAGCTCTCAACGTAATAAAAAACATATCTGACTCAAAAGCCGGCCAATCTAATGACGACAGACTAGTCAGCATGACTACAAAGTGCTAACTGCGTACGTGCTGGGAGGCGGTATGCATTGAGAGTGACTGCAGTAGAAAGAACAAATAATCAAAGAAATCACTCTGATCTTCAATACCCTGAGAAGACGATCCTTATCACAAATGATTCTATACTATCAGGTTTACAGCTGGAAGTTAGATTTGGTTTCATGACTATGAAAGAGCATGCTATGCCTTTTGTCTCATGAGAAGAAAATAATAAATCATATGTACCTGAGGGCAAACTGGGCATGATTGAGTCTGATTGAAATGTATCTTAAGCTCCCCAGGCCGCCATCAATCTCACATATTGTAAAGCAGGAAGACTGGGGTGTAAACGTTCACTAAGAGACGTGTCTTGTCCCTTTCAGGAGACATTTTCAGCCATCAGTTACTGCAATGAAAACAAATGGATTGGCTGTTTTCATAGAGATAGAAAACCGTGGACTTCAGCCAAAGATAAAAGGGCCAAACTCACAGAGGCGTGTGTGTGGGTGTCAGATTCAAAAGGACTGGCATGAAGGAAAAAGAAATGACTACCTACTGACTGTTTCTATGAATAATACTGACTGCTGGCTAATAGGGGAGGACTGTGATACACACTTCCTCCACAGCTTAAACTGTGCACATCAATGAAGTCTTCCCCCATAAAAACCTGTATAATTGAATCTATTTGCATGCATTACCATGTACACACCATCAATTACTATGCGAATGATCTTACAGCAGAGAGAAACAAGCCATCTGCAAGAACTTGACGGGCTTGTTGTTAATTTTCCTGCCGTATTGATTCGTTATGGACAGTAGCAACAGAAAGGTAGGAGTCAGCAATAGGTAACATCTCACCTGTAGCCACTGTGACTGGTCACTGTGTCCGGCTGTCCAAGCATTGACTTTGCCCTGTTTGTCCAGCCGAGCCTTTCCAGGCTCCCAAGTGAACATGTCCATGTTGAGCGTCCTGAAGATGCTGGAGGCCGTGACCTGGTAGTCCTGAATATGGCCTGACTTCATTCCTAGGGGTTCAGAGCAGCCTGGCAAAAAAACAATTAAATTGCCTTGACCGCATAAACCCCTCTCTTCTAAAAACAGTATATCTTCCATGCTATTAACACATAATAATTGCAGCATGACGCTAATGTGCAGAGGGTATATTGCCGTGTACTTTCAGATCATTACATCATAAAACCGTGTGTACAGTTGGAGGAAACATGCCCAGCTCCCTCACCTGTCAATTCACAACCAAGCAGCTCCATGCGTAAGGTACAATGCCTCCTGCACACTTGGGGGTAAATGCGCACGTACTGGGCCTTAATGGGAGGGGTGAAGGAGTTGGCTGATGGAGCGTTGTTATCGACGTTTCCTCTGAAAATCTGTTGAAGGGGATGAAATAACAGATGATGGGGGACGGGAGGATGATGAAGCAGATCAGTTTTGCCGTAATGCAGCAGTCTATCCGACACTGTCTCCAGTGTCTACTTCAGACTCGACAAATTGCTGTCATTCAAGGTCAATGAGCTACAATTGCAGGGAAAAATAGACAATTTCTCGCACCATTTCAGCCCGCAATTCATAAGAATAGTGGTACGATTTGAATTAGTTCTCCAATTATATTGCCATACGTTCTCGAGAGTTTTTCTCAGGCATGATGGACTTAGACAGACAGAGAGATTCTTGATTCGAGTGATTGATGCAATGTTTGAGGCCCAGATAGTAGGCAGAGAAAGGAAGGGAGACATCGTGCAGTGTGTTCCACGGAATAGCGGGAGAAGGAGCTGTCGTTGGGAGGCAACAGGTCAATGTGAACAAAAAGCCCTGATTCCTATTAGGTCAGGAGTCACTGCATGTGACTACTTATAATATACAGACAGACCTCACTGCGCAGTTATTTATCCCAATCTGCTCATACGGTTACAATTTCCACCTCACAAATACTGCAAGCAGTCTCCCTCACGTTCTTGCTTTCTGTAGGATAATACAATATATATATACAGTGAAGTGCACTATGGAAAAGAACAAACAAACTGCAATCGCAGAAGGATAAAGTCCAGACTCATCGTTCCGTGTTACAAATCTGAAAAGAAGTTTAGAAGCCAGCGTCATTCGGAGCGCTGCCAAATGGACGCGGGGCGGAGGTTTCCTGTCAAGAATGATTGACGGCTTTGTGGCCGGTTCTTTGCGGCTGGTCATCCCCAAATAGTATAAAAATTCCATCTAGAAGTCATAAAAGAGGAGCGGGGCATCAGGGGCAGAAAGACGGGGCCCGGTGTGTGCTAGCTAATTAAAAAGCCATCTCATCATGTCCTCCACCGTGCCCTTGAGTGAGTGCACACTCTCTAGCGTGGGCGTGTGTGTACCTTTGTCTGTGTATGACGGAGTGAGAGGCTAAAGGATAGAAAGGGGGGAGATGACATTGGGTGTGTATGCGCTGTGTTTGTGTAACCAGGTGTGTGTCTCACCATATCATCATCTTTGCCCTTGACTTTGTAGGTTCTCCAGGTTTTCCCGTCATCACTGTAGGCTACTTTGTAGGACTTGACGTACTCTGGGCTGCCGATACGCTTTGCACCCTGGGTAATTAGACCTGTGACCCTCATTCTCCTCTGTAGGTTTATCTGTGGAGTCGAAAAAAAAGGCAAAATCAGGATGTTATTGCTTTATTTCCAGACCGTTTGAATGTGTGCATTTATTTCTGTGGGTGTGTACGAAAAGTGTGCACATGCACGTCAAGTCACCCCTTTGTATCTTTACTGTCAGGGCCATCCATCTTATTCAGAAAGTCTGTGATCAAATGGAACATTTAATCAATCCCCACGCTCTAGTTCCAGTCTGTTAACCCTGTGCACACTGTCAATATGGTAAAAAGAGGAAAAGACAGGCTAAGAAAGAGAAAGGTGATGAATGTTTCCACAGATCTTGCTTAGCAACACAAAGCAGGATAATTATTATCTAAGCAGGAAAGACTTGCTGCACACCAGCTAAAGATGTGTTTTGACATGAGTCCATTTCAGCAAAAGTGCACAACTTCCACACATTTTCTTCTCACAAAATAGGTTTTAGAATTTGCATGTTTATTTATTGTATTCTTGTTTATAATCCAGCGGAGCTCATCACTACATATTCGTAATGCTGCTTTTACAATATTCAGACGGATAACTTAAATAAATGAGTTGCACATATGCACATATACAGCCTAAGTAAGGCTTTGATTAGTTCTATTTAGGTTTAAAATAGGTGGATGACATAGTAATGATGACAGCAGCATCATGCCTGGCTCCAAGAGGATCCTTACATGCATGATCTGCAACTCTCCCATGATACATTTTACAAGGCTTGCAAGTCTGAATGTTAAAAAGATATATTTTTATATTTTTATATATATTTTGACACATTCCTGTTCTATTGACAGGAGCCTCTTCCTCATCTTTTCTTTATCTCTTCCTCTTCTCTTTTCTTTACACTAGACTTTGGCTCTACCTGCCCCAAGAAAATAAGAACACAGCTGTCTAGTCTTCCATTGTAGCAGCTGATGGGAAGCAAGAATACAATACTGAGTGCGCACGAAGGAAGGGACCAATAACCTGAAATGGCCAAATTTAAAGAAAGAAAAGCACACGGAAACTGAATTTAAATTCATTATGAATTTGTCTCTTACAGCTGAAGAATCAAATTTATTCTTACATTTTCTTCTTTAAGATACGCTTTTAAGGAATTCTAGAAAACAAAATCCAATATCTACACTTGCAAACAAACACAACTATATTGCAGCTAATGTTTGTCAAGCTGAAGTCAGTTTTTAATTAAAAACATGAGCCACTTTGGTAATCCATGATGAAGACTAACTCCACGGACAATGTAACCACATTAAGGATGTTATTTCAGGGGCTTCAGTTTATTTACCTGTGCAGGAATATTTAGCACTATTATGAAATAAGGAAATTCACAATGAAATGAGGCAAGTGAAATATTTCAGAGTAAAAGCTGAAATCCAAACGCTGAAAGTTACTTTCTTTCAAAATAAAAACAACTTACAGTATTGTGACCTCAGCTAGGTCACAATAGGTATCTTACAGATCCAGCACATGGTCTGACCTGTCAAAACATAATGGAGCGGCGAACAATATTTGTACTGCAGCTTCAATTTCCTGACTATTTTCCGGTTGTAGAGACCGCAACAAAGCAACACACTTAAACCAACGTATCGAGTTAATTATACACGAGGAACCCCTCTTAGTGCCTCAGAGCTTCGATGACTTCGACCACTCTTTGTCACTCAAAGCATCGCTTTGCTCTTTTCCATTTCCTCTACAGAGACGGTTACTTGTCGCACTAATTAGAAGCCGTGTCACTGAAAGGCCACGGCTGGGTTAATTGGGGTGATCCTTCCCATTTTTAATGACCACTCAGAAACACATGTTTGTCACCTCAGCTCTAATAGTGATGCATTTCTGAGGTTGAGTGAGGGATAGTTGGAAACATCCTCCATAGACAACCTCGTCAGATAGAAGGTGTGAGAGGCACATTGATTACACATAATACAACACATTTAGAACACAGCTTTGAATCAACCAAAATAAATTGTCACCAAGCTGAAATAATTCTTGTATTATACACTTATTTTTTTGCTCAGTGGTCGTTCCGCTCGATTACAAGATCATATACAGTCCACATACAGATACTATGATTTAAATATTCCCCCAAATCTGCATGATTTTCTAACGTTATGTATATTTTGATGCCCGTTCATCAATAATTGAAATACAAATGATAGAATTGTTAGTCCCTAGCAAGTGTTTGCTCTCTGTATGCTTATGAAATAAAGGCTTCTAGAAGTAGAGCAGAAGAAAAAGGTTTAGAACTGACCCTTCCACCATTTCCCCCTTTCCTTTCCCTGAAGCACAGCATCTTGGGTTGGCAGTGCTCATGGAAAAATGCATGAGCCTCCAGAGAAAATAACTTCTACATCATATCTGTTTCCCTCTGAAAAACCTTCACCGCTGTGAGAGAAAGACTATTTTGAGCCATCCTTCAAATAATACGCGCATTTTTTACAACCATCATTAAGAGACGATCAATAAGATCATGGTTCTTCGGATGAATAGCTATTCAATTTCTTGACATTTTATAGATAGAATGGTTGATTAACTGATGAAAAAGGTTATCGTATAATACTGTATAATGAATGAAAAACACTAAATGCATAAAATTATTGTGACTCACTAACCTACATCATAACAAGTCCTCCTCTGCACAATAGTATCATTTTTATATTTACATTAAATGCTCTCCAGCGTTCATTCAGCTTCACCTTTTCCAGAATGTGTGCATTAAGAGCAAGCTCAGATCCTTCTATTGGCAGGATCATCAACGATAACCAAATATCATACCAACAAGCCAGACCTCATTCTAACTTAACACACACAAGCATTAAAAAGTCAGGAGCCCGCAAGGCGATACAATATCTTCTGTTGACTACACAGATGACAAATGTTAAGGGAATTGCAGATATGGTAACAATTACACTTCGCTGTGCCCTCGATCTACCAAAGAGCCCTGTGGCAATGCGGTGTGAAATATTGAAGAATACACACACGCACTCATTGGGTTGATACAGAAATTACATCAGCTTATAGTCAGGTACCAGAAAATTCAAATTTACAATGTGTTGTTAAATTAACCATCACAAAAGACTGTCCATCTGAAGGTTTTGATAACAATGTTTACAGTGCAATGAAAAGGGGCATAAAGACACAGACTTAAGATTCTAAGCAGGTTACATTAGATAAATACCAAAACATGCAAAACCACTTACAGAGATCTGCAACATGAGGCCATTAACAGTTTACCTCGTGATAATTTATTTATAGACTATAGAGCTTCACAAGTGATTTTCATCCTTCTATTGCAGCTGGCTGCAGCTATATTTTGCTGATATTGGGCAGATGTGCAGCATATTTCCCTTGAGTGTTCAAACGCAATGTTATGTGTGAGCTCGTCGTGTAAAACTGATAATCAGACGGTACATAAATGTGCAAACAGTAGCGATCTCAATTCTCAAACACACCAAACAACCTTAATACAAACCAGATATATTCAGTGAATTCATGCTTTGTTTGCATTTCTATGATGAAAATATATTGCTCTGTTTGATTTGAAAGGCAGATATCCAGAAATACATACAGCAGAGAAAACCTCTTGAATAGCTGCACGGATCTGACCTCTGCCCCTCACAGAATAACCCGTCTCACATGACGCCAGACGCGCAAAGGCAGTCGCGCCACGTAATCTCCAAAACGCCGACACGAGCGCACACCTCCGTTCCCACGGCCCAATCATTCCAGGCCTCCTCTGTAGCAACACACAATGCCTGCAGCGTCCCGCGCAAACATCCCACGTGGCATCATTAAAGTCAAACAAACCGCCTGAATGTTTTATGTCCTGTTCTCCGCCGCCACCGCCGCTCCCTGTGCCCGGCTTCGTTTCCCTCAGCCGTGTCGCCTGTTTCCTTGCCGCTCCGTCTCTCGTCTCACGCGGCCGCTTTTGCCCCGTGATGCTGTTCTCTCGTTGTGAGGTGAGGCTTTGCTTTTGCCATTACGCCGTCACACTGTGGTATGTTTTCCTTTTTACATTTTGTTCACGGTTCACTATCCGTGTGTCACGTCTCTGATTAAGGCCCCCTTCAAAAGGTTGCTGTCAGCATTTCTGTTCTCACTGAAGTGATTTAAGAGGAAGACAAGTGGAATGCAGCTGAAAAGCCATTATTTCTTTCATAGTTAATCAAATATATTAATGCTAAACTGCTCTCAGTATCTGTCTATGTTTCGATCTGGAATAATCTGAAATCTGTGGGATGAAAGTATCTTTGTGACTTGACGAGGCATTTAGACCGAACGAGAGATGTGAAAAAATGTATATATTGTAGCTATGAATACAATTTAGTTTGGGGGACATTCGTATTCAAAGCTCCTCTGACAATTGATCTTTATACCAGAGCCATTTCATTCATATTTCATCAATCTAGACAATTAGTTGTACGTAGGTAATAAATTGGAGCCAGATCATTTCTGTTGAGGGAGCCGCAGCAGCTTCAACAACGTCACTTAAATCATTGCCTAATGCAATGAAATCTCTAGGGTTATAATTATATAATATTACGCTTTAGGAAAGACATTTATGCATTAAAACGGCCCAAAAATAAAATAAATGGGATTTTAGGGGGATTCATTATTATTCATTATGTATCAAATATATCTTTTGACAGCAGAGAGATTGGTTGATCTTAATTTACTAAATACATAACAAAGAGAGAAGAGACGCATGGCAAAAAATGTGCCAATGCAGTTACTATACAACTGGGAGCACGTCAAGACTTAAAGTCAAAACTGGAGATGGCCGAGGTGAGTAACTCCAATCACCACCACAGAAGCAACATCCACCAGCTGAAGACAGCGACGCCCTTTACATTGTTCATCGTGCTCGATTACACCGACATCTGTTCTACCAAGTAATTAACTCCAAAGCCATCAAGGTTGATTTTCACTTTTATGTCTAAATATTAATTACAAACAAGTCATGCTATAACGTAAGACGCTTACATCTAACAGATTAAAGCCAGAACCCACAAGAAAGTAAAGTGTGACAATAATTAACTGTATGTGTTCATTCGTTTGTGTCCGGCCCGTCTCAGTGTGCGTCCTGTCCTGTGACCGTGCTTTACCTGGATCCACGGCCATCTGTCATTTTCGGCAGCAGTCCAGGCGTTGACCAAGCCCTTCTTGTTGAGGCGTGAAAAGTACGGGTACCACTTCTGCAAGCCAAAAAGAGCACGGTGGGTGGAGGAGGCTGTTATCTGTTGGTTGGATATTATGCCGCCCTCCATGCCCAGTGGTCCTGAGCATCCTGAGTGAAGGGAGGGAGAAAGAGACACATGAGTGTGATCGGGTCATTTTAGCACATATGTGTATTTCTATTACTATAAATACCACCATGTCAACGTTTTTTGTCCCTCACATGTAAATCTTCTCTGTGTGAACAGTGTCATGTATGGCAATTAAAACTGCAGCTTTTCCTTTTTTGGTTTTGTTATATCTTAGTGACTCTTGTCCCTCTCATTTTCAATTTGACTTTCATTCATCACAAAGTTGTTACACTTTCTATCATAGTCAAATCCTTTTGAGTCACGTTCAGCACTGAAGAAGACTCGTATATGCCTTCATGCTGTCCACATCTGAGGGGCTAACAGGTTGCTCCTTCATCTCTTCCATCAGTAACGCCGGCCCTTCGGCTTCCGCCCAAGGAGCTGCTGACACTTCTGGATAAAATCATCCCCAAAGTCGACAAACTGTAAGAGCTTTAGACATCCTACAAGCTACAGTGAGGGAGGCATGACTGATGATGTCTTCAGACAGAAACACTAAGCTTCTGTGAGCAACTGGTTTTCCCTCTTAATCCTTATTGGTACGTATGTCCAGACACATCAACAGAATTTTAATAGACATGCGAAAATGTGCTAAAAGGAGTTCTGGCTGTTGTGTAAAGCCATTACGTCTTTGTGTTTCCATACAAATAAAAAGCCTATTTGGGAATTCTACACTAACAGAAAAAACATACAAATGATACAGATGTATTGAATAACATTTTATAAAAACATATTTTTGACAGTGCAACTGTTCATTTACACATAAAAGCATCTGCTTTTCTATCAAAACTCATGTCCGCTTGAGTTGAGATGGGACATGCATGTGAGTGACATGTGGGTTTAAGATGACCGATACATGCCGGGAAAATTACAGCACCAGTTCAACTGGTCTTAATTTATGTCCCAAACAGTGGTGACAAATCACCATTGAAAGAGAATAAGATGTGACGGAAGGTCCTCAGAATCCTTCAGCCTGAATATGAATATATGTTGTGTATCCCACAGTGCCTGTCAAACAAAAACACCATCACAACTGTATTTAAATTGTGATGTGTTGGTTGTAACAGATGTTTCAGTTGTAATTGGTCTCTAAGTGAAGCATATAAATGCAAGGATTTATAACTGAACATGTTGCATCCAACAATACTTATCTTGAATGATCATGATTGGACTACTGTACAGTCATGATCTATATCATATTTGTAACATTGGTGTTATAATTTACTAATTAGCTCAACAATTAATCATTTCAAATATGAACATCCATTGCATAATATGCTCAGGATCGTCCCCATTGAAGAACAGCTGACATTGGGTAGATATTCTGTAGTGTGTGCTGGAGTGTACTAGACGTGTGTGGCACACAGAAAAAAAACAGAAATGGCAGTTTGGAACATGTAATTATCCGTCAGAGTTGAAAGTCAAAAGGAACAATATAAACTGAGTAGCAAATGGAATTTATTTCCCACTGCCTTTTCTGTTGCGTGACGGCAATAAACAACAGATGTGACAGAGGTAACCGTGTGAGGCTTATTGTGTTTTCTGAAAGAAATGATGGTTTTGTTTAACAGAGAAGAAAATATCACAGCTGAAGAATTTAATTTAATTGACGGACAATTGCATGTGATGTAAAGGATTCGGGCGGTAATCCTGCTCTGCTCTTTGTGTTCATTTCTAACAACAACAGGGGTAAAATAATAATGTAATAATAAAACAGTGGACACGGTGAATGAATTATATTTTGTTTGTGAACACGGTAAATGGCGCTATTGTTCTCTTCTGACATCTCAAGGCACTTGAACACAACATGTCTTGTACCCCAATTCCCACCTGTTCATACACTGATCAATTGGGTGCCACCTGCTCATCAGAGCTAACTAACTAGCACTCATACAGTATTCACACACCGCGGGCACAGTCCACAAGAGCAACATGGGGTTAAATGTCAGATTGACATGAACCAGAAGCATAGATCAAGCCTCCGTGATTGAAGAAGAGACCCACGGTCACCCCTCTTTGTCTACTGCAGCGCGTCTACACAGTAATAGCTGTGTTTAAGACCCCTAAAACAATAAGTGTTGGCAAAGCCGAGGGGACTTGTCCCGAAAGAACGAGGGCACATCGAGTGAAAAACCCCACCAGAGGCTCTGCCTGCTCATAACCAGTGAACTACTGGCGTCGGTTTATAACCAGCCTTCAGGGGAAGCCTGGAGCAGCGTCCACCCAAAGGCTCTGATGCCTGCTCTATTTAAGGAAAGCAGCTAAGCAGTTGAGCTCACACACGGACAGAAGAAGCACACACACACACACATTCCTGCAGACAATGAAACTGGCAGTGCTGTGGAGATGTGAAGATGAGACTTTCACCACAGAAGAAAGCCAAGAGTCAGAGAAGAATGGAACGATGAAAACAACCCTTGCAAAAATTCTCCATCTGCTGAAACAGTGGGACTCTAGGCAAGAGTGAGGCAGGGAGTCAGTGAAACATTTCTGAAGACAGTCCTGGGGGATTGACTGGAGGCTGGGAGAGAGCAAAAGTATATTGTTGAGTGTGTTTGTACCGACATAGACGTGTTTGTATATTCTAGCATGCCAAATTATTCTTGCTTCAAACGCTCTTCCTCGGGTTTGACTCATCGCATCCAGACTGAGAGGAGGATGTGGGCGGATGCGACAGCCTGCTGGTGAAGCTTCGAGAACCTTTCGATTTTTGAATCTAATGGATGCACTTAGAAAGAACCCTTATTAACTTATGTTGCTAATAAATGTTGCATTTTAGCACTAGATGGCAAATCATATTAATTAAGAGACGACGAATATCTGTGTGTAATAGTGGCTCTTCCTCCTTGACAGTGAAACATTTACAAAGAAGATTTGTTCCTCAGCGAGGTATCTGAAAATTCAAATTATATTGGTTCCTCCCATTATGCAATCTTATCCATAACTCAGACTGTCACACTGATTATTAGGAAAGGGAATTTAGGTTTCCTGCATTCAACCTGAGGTTAAGGGGGCAAGAAGCAAACTTCGGCAGAAGCCTTGTGAGGTATTCTATGTGGATGTTGTTGCAAGACAGTGTCCCAAAGTCACAGTCCTCCTCACCTCGCGGCTTTGAAGGGCCCCTGTTAACGAGCTGCCTGCCAGTTGTCTGTCAGAGCAGCAAAGGCGGCGAGCCCCCCGGGGGCCTTGGCCTGCTGGCCCTTGAGCGTACATCAGCTCCGCAACAGCAGGCGGCACTAACACCAGCACAACCGGGATGTGACAGCTGAATCCATCTCCCACAAGACAAGACCTACCTACAGCCTCAACAAATTACAGCCCCACTGAAATGAATGCGAGCACAGCAATGCTAATGAGCACGCGTTGGAAAGAGGCAATGATGAAAAGTATTTTTGTTTTGTGTATTTAGCAGACAGAAATAGATAGTATTTGATGAGGACAACTTGTTGCTATTTGTAACTTGGTGCAACCTGCTCTGGTCCTGAACAGATCTCACCCTTTATCAATATTGGATCTTTAACTGACCATTTAACCTATATTATTGTCTGAAAATGGGAGTCTCGGGGGCCAATACAGCATTGACAATCCCAAATCTGTGTCAGCAGGTGTATTTGTAGACCTTTGTCCTTATTTGTAGATACTGAAGGTGCTGTAATTATTTCAACAAAATCGGACAATAACAGAATCAACAGACAGCCAAAAAGCTTGCTGCTGCCATCGCGTCAATCATTTATAGTACGGCCCAAAATATGTAGCTGCTTAGTCTGCAACAGCCAATACATGTGCAGTACGCACATAACGTGTGTTGAAGGAACAAGTCAGAAAAGATGGACAAGTCCATGGAAAAAAAGAAGATAATTTCTTGATTTTTCTATTAATGGTCTATTGGGGAGCACACAGTCACTTTAAGTCCTACGACAAGGCTGCGACATATTCAATGAATGATACAGTTAAACAGAAAAAGGCAGAAGGTCATACATGAAAACCACTTTACTCATCTCAAGTAACAAGCTTGTCCTCTGGGTCCCTCGTGAGGCTTTGCTAAATCCGAGAAAATAACCTGTGATGTCACAGTGAAGCCATCAGGGTTATCCCAGTTTGGGCTGGATGGCTACAAGTCTTCACCTGAATAACTGTGTTACAAAGTGAGCGTGTCAGGTTTGAAGATGTGGGCATTCGGCACGCGCAGAGAATGTAAAGAAAGACATCATTGATTATGGGAAATATAGGTTTAACATTTTATTGAATTGAATGTTTACCTTAATTTAAAGATGGTAGTTAAGAAACATTAAAAAAGAAGGAAACCACTCATTCTCGAATACATGTTGTAATATTCCCTATTTGTAATGCAGTCTTTTGTTTCAGAACTTTTTTCACATAAACAGCTTCTTCCAAAAACGTAGAATTCAGTTGGACAGTATCGGAAGAACTTATTTTTGGCTAAACCCCAGTGCATTAAATAACAGACAAAACAAGGTAACAGTGCTAATGTTTATTTGTAGGGGTCTTTAATGCTGTGTACATTGATTGAACGTTGTAGTAATTATTTCCCTGTACAGCCTCAACATTTATTTTGGTTGTAAACATCAAATTAAACAGCAGGTCAGTATTTTCCCTTTATGGCATTTATTTCGGGGACACATCAAAAAAACAAAAAAAAAAACATAGATTACGCTGCCACTGGTTGAGTCTATGGCTGTACAAATAGAGTTTATATAAGAGCATCATTAGACAAATAATGGAGTTTAGCATATGTTCAATTAGCAAGATATTTCCTCCTTGAGTTCTTCACTCACTACACCAACCTTATCAGTCAGGCTGTGCCTCTTAATTCCTCTTGATACACTAATTATCCTGCCTTCTGGGATTCAATTTATAAAATTACCATAAACCCTTAGAAAGTTATCTCCTCTCGATGCAAACTCTTTCTTGAAAATTCCTAAGTAACTTTTGAACCACTGTGCTCGACATAAGATAGACAATGGATTTGTTTGTGAGGAGCAGTGCAGGCGTGGCTCGGGGCTCCGGGTCCACTGCTACATTAATCCTAATATGCTCCAACAGTAAGCAGACCAAATCCCCACGATAGCAATATGAACACACAAGGGCACTTCAAGCTCTCCGGGTGTTGGAAAAGAATAGCTACTTGTGATAATGTGGATGTGCTCCCACATTCTACACAGCCACTGGGCAGAAGAATGAAATTAGGGATGAATGAAATTAACGGCCTTGACTTCTCAACATTTAAATGTTCAGATGTTTTTTTTAGGGTTAATTGTGTGGTAAAAAACATCTAAAATAATATAAGTAGAAGTTTGGATTCAATTTGTTAAGTTAAGTTAATAGAGTTTATTGTAATGCTTATTTCTCTTTAATTCAGAAGACATGAACATTGTGTGGAATGTGAAGAATGAAATAGGATTAGAGCTAAATGTGAAGAAGCTCTATGTCCTTATTATTCTCAACTCTCACTTTAAAGTCAAATATTTGATAATGTGGCGCTAACCCCCCCCGTGTGCTTTAGAAATAATAAGTGATCGTGCTACGCTAGCCATGTCCAAAAAATATACGGAGGCAATTTCAGCTTTAAAAGGTTGTGTGAGACAAATTCTATTAACGCCAAAAAACTATTTCAGGCTTTTTCTAAGATACATTTCTTTGCCACTGTCAAATGTTGAATATGGTGACTTTCCTTCACTGCATCTTTTTTTCACTGAAACATATTTATTCTTACCTGCAATAATAACAGTATTGGCTATTATAAAACCTACCCAGCAAACCCGCGAAAAGGTCCTTAAAGTAAAATGTCCTCAAAGCTCAAAACAACCTTGAATGACTTCTGAAAAGTTTTCATCAAAGGTGGGCACACTAGACACACCCACAGAGATTCTTACAGGAATTAGCCAACCCGCAAACTGTTTGGCGTTAATAATCAATGGATAGCTGTCAAAGAAAGAAGCACTCACTGTATTGACAGTTCCTCCCCATGTACTCTCCTGGGCATTCGCAGGAATAGTTGGCAACCAGATCTGTGCAGATGCCCCCGTTCTTGCAGGGATCCCTTTCGCATTCGTTGATATCTGGAAAAGCAGCAAGAAGAAGAAAGTACTTTCATCAATTTAAAGCAGACATCTGCAATTAAACAAACCTGGTTGTCGTTCAAATGCAAAGGCAGGGAGCATATATTGCATTTTATTAAAGTGACATTTGATCAACTCATTAAAGATCTCACAAGGACAGCGCTTTCTTGAAAATAATAAATGGAATAGCTCCTCTGAGGACCACTTATAATATAACACATAACTAAGATTTGAAATGTTTGGCTTGACAACTAAACTAGAGTAATTTCTTTGCAGTTTAAATAACTCGATTCATTTTCAGTGCTGTATCCCTGGCAGTTAATTTGTGATCGGCTTGGTACATATTGTTAGTCTTCCCATTAAAGTAGCACAGAACCGATTAACAATATATATCATCAGGTGTCACAATCCGTTGTAATAGCAGCGTTTCTCCGACCACTATATTAGTGGGGCGCACTGAGACAGTTGTTAATCAAGGCTACAACAGGCCATTTAAAACATTGCAATTCACAGCAGAGTTGTTCAAAGGAATAGTATTGCCTAAGTGGAACACTGATGGAAATGTGATTTTATCAATGCCCCTTGTTAACATTGAGATGTGACCCATTGAATGCATTAGCTGAATGTGGATCAATGTGTAAGTAAATGCCACAGCAGCACTGCTACACATCTGGGAACATCTTAACTTCAACGATACAAATGTGGCTGTAGATTTGAGCTGAAGAGTGGCTTGAGAAGACACAACTGTTCCAACTTTTCCTTTCCTTTCATAAGAAGCACATGGGGAAGACTTCAAAGCGGTGTTTTTAGTGAGAAAACACAAAATAAAGAAGATAGTTAAGTGATTAGAAGAAGAGGATTGGGGGAACAGACACTCAAAAAGAAGAGATTAGAGCGTACAAGAGGAAAATGTGCAGGCCCAGTGGTCAGGTAAATGAATTCAGTGTTTACGCAACCCGGGTACAAGCGTGCATCCAAGGAGTTCCCTTAATAGTCAGGTTCTATCATTATTCCATTTAATCAGTCATTAAAGCCTTACGGCAGAACAGTGTTTGCAACTGATTACTTTAGTTTAATGGGAATTATCCTAATGAGCTTTAACGGATTTAACAAGCCAGTTTGTGTAAAGAAGTCCACGGCAGATGGGCAAAATAAAACTAAAAGGCTAACAATTTGATAGGATCCAACACCCTGGCTCTCCAATAAAACTACTTGTGAAGGTTCCAGTGTTCACTTTTGTTGAAACTGAGCCAGAGGGATGGTGATTCAACCAACAATGTATTAGACTTAACAATTTACTACCAGAAGGATTTTATGTTTTGTCCACCTGCTGCACATACAGCAATGGACCAAATACAATTTGCCATTGGCCCACCAGGCAATGCACTGCATGATTTTGCACAGGCGTATATTTCATTATTCCAGCAGTCAAGAAATGTAACTTATTTATTAATGAACATATTGCCATTTCATGAATAAATAGTTGTGCTGTTGTGAGACGAAGTAATATTAAGATTGCTAATGTGATTAATACCATATACTTTACTGTTATTACCCCTTGCTCGCAGACAACCCCTTTGGAGCAATGAATAGTGCTATTTGTCGGGAAGTTGTAATGTCTGTGAGCACTAAATTGGCTTTTGTGTGTGTTTGGAGCGTAGTAGGAGACGTGCATTGGGATGGGGGAGGGTCTATGGGTGCCCCCTCTCTGCCCGGCTGCACTGACCTCAGCACGCCTCCACCTGCTACACCACTCAAACCCACAGGCCGTTCAATCTGCTTCCCACTTCATTCAACAGCAGCGGCATTGCGGCAAATCGTGTACCGCGCAGGATGTGTATGTTCAAGACGAGGTGGGAAATAATGACATTTCATCAGTATGGAACATCTTGGAGGATGTAATGCCAGATATCAAATGTATCATGCTTACGTTTTTTTTTTCTTCATTTTTTCTCTAATCACCTGAAAATGACAATTTTTGTATTCGGCGTCACCTCGCAAGCCTAAACTGGCCCTGAAGAAACAACATACGTCACACAAATGATTGGATGAAATCCCTACTAATTGCGTGTAATGCGCTCACAGATGTAAAGCCTCCAAACTTAATCAGCAGAATTAAAGGTAATGTCTAAGCATTATAGCCACTACATCGTACCCACCTCCTTTATTAAATTACAGCCAGATGTTGGGTACATCTGGGTAAAGCCTTCTTTTTTCTTCTGCTAAGACGCTGCACGCCACTTAATCTGAGGTTTGGGAAGATTTCGCTTTCATGTGGAGATGTCTCATCGTGTTACATCTCTCCATCTGGGCTCAGTTTAGCCCTCATGCATAGTGTCCTCTGGGGAAGTCGCATCTTCTCTTATCGGCTTGTATGACACGGAGCCACTGAACCCACCCATGTTTTGGAAGCAAGAAGGTTTTCTTGACATCTTTATCCGGGTAAGTAATAGCGGTGTGACCTCTACAGACCTCTACTGATTGACAGCAATGAAGTGGACAACTGGTTGTTTATGTCTGCCACGTGATTAACCCCTGACCTGGAACACTCGTACTGCCAAACAAGTAATCAGTCCGTTTTTTTTTTTGTCAATAACAGATGGGATTTACACCGGACAGGCTGCTGCCGATGCACTGTGACTCATGTCGGTATGCTGCTGATGTTGGATTTGATACTAAAAATAAAATTTGCAATCCAAGGACAACCTGAATGAATTTATCAGGTCTAATTAAAAAAAACACACAGCCAATCACTAGGGTGCAAGGCTTTGCATGAATAATGTTTACTATCATCATTAGCTTATGATCTGTGTGACAGGTCACTTAGTTAAATATGATTTCAAAACAAAAAGTCTAAACATGTAATATCAGAGTATCAATAAAAGATGTGACATACAGCCCTAATTACAGACTCATACACACACAGACTGAACAGCTAATGGCATCGTCAGTTAGTGACCAAGGACACACATCCAAGGGAGCAAAACATTGCATGAAATGTTTTCCCAATGAAACGTACTGTACTCGTGTTTGATAATGGAGGTGTGGTTATGAGAAGAGCAGCTTATCTTGGGCTGTGCTCTTTTCATTCCATCTATGATTTTTCTGCTCATTTACACTTTGATTATATCCTCACACATTTTTTTCCCCGTGGATATTGCTTTTTCACATTGATTTTTGTGTTTTTTAGAGGCAAAACAGTATTTAAAGTGCAGACATACATTATAGTATCTGACTGCATTTGCTAATGTCATCTCGCCTGTTGATTGAATGTTCTTTCCCATTTACTGCAGATGCAACACACGTGCATACACGCATATTGTACAGACAGTATCTACGTATGTCGATGAACTCTGAACTGAACTTCAGGATGAATCGATCTATAGCCTTCACTACTTCGAGTGCCGACTCGTCGTCCTCATAGTTGCATCTGGCGGTCCACCTTGAATGTTGTGTTTGACAGGCACTGGTGCAGTGAAATGTGTCACATCCACACTACACAAGGCCGGCACAAGACCTGTCTCTCCAAGTAGAGACAGAGATAGAGGATGGAACATGGAAGGACCTGTCCCCACTGTCAATCTGTCCTGTCAATCTATCCTGGCCTTAGCCATGTCAGTGGAGTGACGATCAAAATATAAAGTAGAATTCCTGTCTGGCGTCTGATGGCGGGTCACAACCAGCTGAAAGACACATTTATTATTGACCTACGAAGCCTTGACATGTGTTCTCTCTGAACACATTTCTGCATGCCCATGCGTACTGATTTTATCAATCTCCTACATAGAAATGTAAAGAAAAATCTCATCTTTCACACGTTAGTTTACGTAGCTGCATATGCTGCGTGTTTCAGGTGATGTGATGCGGCATGGCGCTGTGAATTCAGGATTAAGGATAACGTGGAGGACACGCTCTTTGAAGTGGGATTATCCCATTGAAAGGTTATTCACAGCAGAAGCCTTCGGAAAGGTACCTTAGGAAGCATTGCAGAGAGTTTTGAGTATTTGAAAAGGAAAACACTCATCATTTCTAACACACTCAGACTGGGGGGGGGGGGGCTTCTGTCAAAGTGAAGGTGTGCAGAATGTGAAGAACCCTCAGCATGGGGGCGGATTGATACTTGGAGGAAAGTCTTGAGTGTCATTTTGTGCTTGCAGATGGAGCCTCCAAAGTAGGTGTGTGAGCGGAATAATGATCCAGCTCACAAAAACCTAAAGTGTGATCTAAAAGCTCTTTAGCATCACTGAGGCACACTTACTAGAATGTTTGAGGGACACACTCAAATAGCATAAGAAGCAGAGGTTTAGTGGAGGCAGGCCAAAGAGCTTGCACGGGCTTGAAATGGGGAGAAATTTGGTTTTGACTAAATATTTAAACTCATTTCCACTAAAAGAAAAAGGTCTTATTACGAATGACTTACTCAGAGTTCAATATTGAGAGTGGGAGCATGCTTCGATGGTTTCAACAGGGGACAATTTAACACTGATTTTATTAATTAATTTCTTTGCTGATCCTCACTTTGGTACTAGAGGAGATTTTATGAATGCTTTGGTAGAAAAAAGTCGTATAATCTTCATAACGAGCAAACACACATCGTAATCATTTTGTCTACGCTGAGTCATGTCTCTGCATAAATGAGAGGCTGCCTCCGATTTCTCTGCTGGGCACCGGTCACAATAATATTTTGTGGTATACAACCTCTCTCTTAATCTTCATTTTGGTGACATTTATCTCAAACTAAAACAACACTAATACTAGTTTGGCCACATATTTACATTTCTGAATTGTGTTTATTCAAAGCTAAACATTTGTTAGTTTTCTGTTTTGCCAGAAGCCCTGGACAGGGATGAGTCAAACTCTTCTCCGCCACAGGGGATTCGGAAATGCATCTCTATTTATGCCGCGGCCATCTGCCAAAAGGTCCATACTTATTGCAAAGGCTAGAAGGTGACAGCAAGGCTCAGGTGTCTACGCAATTAGGCCCTGGTAACTGCTTGTTC